CCCCCTCCCCCAAGAACGCCCACCAGAACATCTCCCATACTTGTCATTGGGAAACGGCCCCAATACACGGTTGGAATGTGCTGAGGCGTTTCTGGGGCACATTCTGTGGGGGCAGATGCGACTTCCTTAGAATGTCCATGCTTTCATATTCCAGGCGATTGATGTTGCACCATTCATGAGGCAACATATTTTCATATATTTATCTATTTTGTTCAGGCGTGCATGTGTGCATTTTTTATTTTAGGAGTTGGTTGCTTCGTTGCTTGTTTGTAGTGGGGAGCTCTCAAGTCTGGAGCACTTATTGAAAGTGCCAAGAGATCACCCGACTCCTGACCACGGAGAGTTCAATTGAAATTATTGAGAGATCACACTCGCACGATAAAATAAAAGGGGCATTACATCAACTCGGTGAAAAAAAAAACAATGTTCTTCTGAACTACATAACCATTTCTGGAGAATGATCTTTGTTAATCCAGTACAAGATTTGCAAAAATGAATCCTCTCAACTGGAGGAAGCTTACTATTTCCTAATAATCAGTAATACCAGTAAGCCTACTCGACCACGGCCATTAGGTCACTCTCTCGTGCAAAGCAGTGCCTTGCATCTGTACCCAAATCCACCTGCATACAACATGGATGCAAATCATATTTAGAACTTTAAATATATGATCCAATACAAGTAAACAAACTAAAAGCCTAAAAATGTTCCACCGACCAAACTTTGGAACATCTGTCATTCAGCCTTGTAACCTGGGCCCAACTAAGGACAACTAGGTCAGCAACTCAGCATTAATATGGAAAGCAATTCACTGCTCAGAACCAATGAAGATCAAGATATCATCCACTGGTTTCTGGTTTGAACGAGTTTGTTTTAGCATCCATAAAACATGCTAACTATTTGTCAGTAAAGTTGCAAAGCAACAGGGCAGGTTCATAATACTAAATAATCAGACAAGCAACTAGTAAAATTGTAAAAGTGGGGATAACTTATTTTTGTGTCACAGCATAGTGCCACAAATGGTTTAACATAAGAGGCAGTGAGGGCAATTAGACCCTACATTTGATAGGTCTCTCATTGGCTATATGTCTACTGATAGGGCTTGCTCATGGGGCATATGGAGGTTGTCTTCAAATGAAGGTAATTCTGTGCTAAGGTTCAATGCATTGTAACACTACTTACCTCATATGCATTAATATCCGAGAGAAGAACCTGCAAGACAAGATCCTGACCTTGAGGAACTATAAACAAAAATGGCAAACTACACTATAAAAGGAAAAGAAAAAGAAGCAAAGCAATACAATGCAATGAAATGAAGTTTACAATAAACTCATTAACTCAAGTTGAGACTTGAGAGACATCCTACAAATACACAATTACTGGTCAACTGCTCAAATTTTGTGACTTTGCCAGTATATACTATTTACCCACAACCAAAATACCACGGCAAAAATCACATATACTTTTTTGAAGAAGGTAGAGTATCACATATACTTGTCAGTCTGAACTTGTACCTTTTTCCCAGCTTCCACTTCCTTGACATCAGAACCAACAGACAAAATCTGTAAGAAATGCACACTGATTAATGTTGTTCTTGACAATAATTTAAAAAGGTTTCTTTTTGTTTGAGTTGCACACAACTCACCTCTCCCATTAGGTAGCGCTCAAATTTAACAGCTGATTTGGGCAGCAACACTCCACCTACTGATTTCTGTTCAACACACTCTATTAATAATTACAGTTTACGTCAAGGAAAGAAATGAAACAACTTTCAAGTCTGATTTTGATCATAAGTGACTGTAAAGAAACATGGATCTACTAGCAGCATCACATACACATGGTGCACAAGGGAAATGAGATCACCGATTCACCATATAATGGGTCCAGCCAGGAAATCTACTTGATTCAATAAATCTAAACCTTCACATGTTTTATAGAACATATTGCTAGCCTTAAGGTCAAATTGTAAAACTTTCCTTTTAGCCTAAGTGGTATTCTCCCATCACACATCAATCCAACATGCACCCCTCTATTTCAACCATCTTGCTCTAAGCCTATAATTATTAGTTGCACCATCCCCAATCCCTCCTTTGATATGGATTATTAAACCAATAATAAACTTCACACAGATTTCTCTTAATCCCCCATCCTAACAGCAGGGATGTCAACAGAATCTGAAAGCCTTCAACTCCATCTGAGATATGATCTGATTATTTGAGATTTTGCTGATCTATTTGCATAAGGGAATGGGATTCCAATTTTAATGCCCATGGTACGAGGCAAAGTGTGTGCCTTTTCAAAGCGATGCAAAATTTTGAATACAATTCAAAGAACAAAAATAAAAATAAAAATAAAACTATAATACATAAAAATGCAAACCTGAATTTTAAAAGAAATTAAGTGTTTTAAAAAGCCTATTGTCTCAAATTAAAATACAAAGACATAACATATAACGTACATTCAAAACGAAAACGTAGAAGTGAAAGCAAACATATGTTGACTGTACCGAAGTTCTTCAAGCACTAAATAATTCAAGCATGTGAAACTTTCAATTTATTTATTTATCCTCTACTTGCATTGTTTCAAGCATCCTGTGTAATGTTAAACATCTTGTATTCCTAATCCTAAGAGATTGGCCCTTTGCCTCCTCCATAAAGACCCTTGAGGCAAAGGCCAGATAGATCCATGCGGGTTTTGGGTAGCAGCTTGGACCTAAATTTTTTGCCCATATATACAAAGAGATTGGTTTTATGATTTTAATCGCAACTTATTCTATTTTGGAATTAGGAATCCAATATTAGTTGTATTTTTGTTGCTTCTTTAATTAAAAAGTTTCTATTTTAGATCCTAACTGCAAAAACTAATGCTTCAGATATTTGAATAGTTTTTGTTTTTGTTTATTTTAGAAGCTAATAGACCATTATCAGTATAAAAACAGGTGATAAAAGGCAATTTAAAATTGTTCAGCCATTATAAAGATGTAAATCCGCAAAAGATAACAGAAAAGACATTTAAATAAAAAAGGTATTCACTTGTGCTGATGTGCACCATGCACGCTATTTGAGAGGGGCTACTACTCTGGTTCAAGTGAAGCGCATGCCTTCAGATGCACCTTACCATGTACCTAGGCACACCTTTCCATCATTTCATACTTACATAAATTTATTTTATATATACAAGCCAAATGGTGATTAAATTATTTACAAATTTCAGTTTTTTCTATATTTTAAAGACGGCAAAATAAACTCAAATTAAACACACAAGTCCAAAGGTACTATTTGAGGTTCCCTACATCAAATCAGATTTTCGATCAGATTCGAATTTTAAATATCCAAATTAGACTCAGATGTGATTGGATGCAATCCAAAATGCTATCTCATTAAAACCTTACCTAATGGACTCTAGTTCCCACACTTATTATTTTTGCATTTGAATTGCAGATTCTGTTTTAGTCCTACTTATATTAAAATCTCTTGATTCTAAAGCATTTCCCCGAAGATCTAATTTTTCATTTAAGCTTTCTAGTTTTATAAATTAATACTATGTACTCAGCAAACAACACCTCCTTCCTAATAGTCAATTCATCCATGACCAGTGCAAATAAAAAATGGTTACGTAATGATCTTTGATGAAGTCCCATTGTGATTGGACACTTTGATGTCAACCCTTGATGTTATAACAGTGGTCATTGCACAATAATGCATGCCCTTAATATTTAATAAAGTTTCATAGAGTAGTTTATAAGTTTAAGGGACAATCTATGATGTGGAAAAGATATGGTATGGGAAGAGTTTTGACCAATCAAAACCCACCCATTTGGCTGTTATGTTTATGATTCCAGTTGACTGGTCAGAAATTTTTCAGATATCATATCTTTTCCATATCACAGCCAAACCCTAAGTTTAATCATGTAATAATTATTACAACCTTGCTCATTCTCCATTCATTTGGCACTTTCTTTATTTTCACCATTTTTTCTTGGTGAAACAATAATATCCCAAGTTAACAAGGGTGGGAAAGTGGGTTTGAATTAAAGAGTGGCACTTTGTGCAGAAAATACAAGGTTCAATGACTTCAATCTGTATCCAGTCAATACCTACTAAAACCTCAAATAGTAGGGAGTCCTAGGGACCAAAACTAGGTAATGGCCCTTTTATGTGGTATCAAAGAGATTCCATATGTTCATGGGGAGAAGGCAGACTTTAAAGCATCATCCTCTGGAAACTTTCATGATACTAATAATGTAAGAAAAATAATGACAACACCACCAATAACAATGAGATTCAACTCATTCTGTGGTTGAATAATGAGAAATTCCTTTCTCCTTTAGCAAGTAGGGGGAAAGGATTGAGTCCTCAAATCAAAACTACACCAAGCCGTGTTGATCTATGTTCAAGCCCTCCAACTGGAAATAGTAAAGTAGTAAACTCAAGTTGGACATCAAAATGGAATTTTGGTCCTATTCCACCATGACTTTCTAAAACCACCTCCAAACCAGACAACTAGTTTTTTTTTTATAGTTAACCTGAATTTACAGTTATCAAATAAAAGATACCCCCTGCATTTTGCTACCTACAACTCCCTCTGCAAATATCGGCTTGGATTACTATGTTGAGAATGAACATCAAAATTTGTAACATTAATACATCAGTTCGAGTGGGCTTAGATGAACTCAAATTAAAGTATTCAATCAATATCTTAAAATTTAGATTAAACAATGCGGTTAACGACTTAACTCTTCAACAAGACCAATTTTACCAGGCCTTCATTGTAGTTTTCTTTGTGTTTCTAAAATTCTACTAATTGTCCAGGGAAAAAGATATAAAAGACCAGAAGCCCATAAGAAAACACAAATCCGACTTAAGAAGAGAAGTAAAAGAGATAGATACCGCAGGCAACTCCTCTAAACGAATCAGAACCCTATCGGATTGTGGAACAACCTACCAGAAAGAAAGGAAAACTATGAACCTCAAGCAAAATACAGAACAATTCGAGAACAGCATACATAACCAAAGCCAGGTTAGAATAGAAAAACGAAAACCCAGGAGGGGGTGGAGCACCTTCGTAGGCTCCCATTTTTTGGCCACTGCATTAACTCTCAAAGCATTCTTCCGCAAACCTGTTCACAACCCATGTGCAAAATTATGGGAATAGTCAGGAAAAACAAGGGGTGGAACTTAAACAAAGATATCTATGGAGAGAGATGAAGCTTCAGAGGTGAAAACCTGGTAATCTCTGATTCGAGAAAGAAGAGAGGTTGGTTTTGTAAGAAGAGAAAGGCTTTGCTACTGTAATGAATGCAGACGCCATGGATAAGGATGGAGATAGAGAGAGATGCGACAGCTAGAGTTCCGAGTAGTCGAGATTTGAGAAGGTTCAAGAACAAAAACCCCTTTTATGGTCTTCAACGTACGAGTATCGAATCGCCGATACGTATCGGCACAAATAGAATCGCCGGATTCTAGAGGGTTCGGATGTCTTTGCTTGCGGTTGCGGCTTAATGTAGAGCTGCAAATGGGTATGGACCGCACGGCCAACCCATACTTTTCTATGGGCTCGGTTGGTTTTTTAGGGCTTCTGGTTAGATGTGGGCCAGAAAGCATTCATAATATGCTTGGATTAATTGTGGTTTGGATTATCAGTTCGGGCATATGAGGCCAAGTCTTTTGGTTGGCCCAAGGCCCAACGTAACCGGCCCTAGTTGCACAACTAAAATGTTGGCATCTTCCAACCGGAACCAAGCTCCAAGACTATGAACAGTGGGGCAGGGCCAGAGCTGGCCGTGCCTTATGTCTACAGCAACCACAAAAGTTACAAGAAGGTTTTTAAAACTGAACCGGACAACGAACCAATTAGGGGTCTAGTTCCCCAGTCGAACAGTCCGACTGTTCGAACCAAACGGATGGTTGTTCTGACAAAATAATTAAAAATAAATAAAAACAACCAAACTATTGGACGGTTCAACTACTCGGGTCAGCGATTTGTTGACCAAATCAACGATTTTTGGTGAAATAACGGTTCTGGGGTAAGGTTCCCAGTTTTTCTAGTCCAACCATCCAAACCGGTCCAGTTTTAAAAACCATGAGTTACGACTTGCAAAAACACGGTTGATAGAACTGCAACTTGAGCAGGGTCGGTTGAGCTTTTGTTAAGACTTGGATGGGTTGTGCAAATTTTTCAAGTTGGGTATCCGATTTAGCAACATTGGGTCTGTTTGGTTCATGGTCGGAATTGGAATTGGAATGGCCCATCCCCCCTCCCAGGCTTGTTTACGACAATCGGAATCGGAATCATAATGGGATTATTTTTAGTGACAACTAACAGTGTCTTAACTCACCAGAGTATACAGGGTTCAACAATTGAAGGTAGACTTGTTCATAGGCCAGGCTTGGGCTTGGCTTTCGCCAAATTTTGAATGGGTCATCCTAAATCTCAAGCCCAAAACAACGAACCTTCATGGGCCAGTCTTCTCATGTTCCTCTTTCTTCAAAGAACTGGCCCATTCCCCACCTATATTTGGACTCCCTTTTCCAATTTTGGAAGTTTGGGGTAGACCAATTCCTCCCAGAATTAATGCCTTTTGTAGGGAAGCTTTCCTTGAAAAGTATAACACTTACGACCTACTCCAAAGAAAAAGGCATAATTGGTGTTTATTCCCACACTGGTGCATCCTTTGTAAGAAGAATGGTGAGACATGTTATCACTTACTGGTTTCTTGCCCATTTGTTTCAGAGATCTGGTGTTGGTTTTTCTATCTTTTTGGTTGTAGGTGGATCCCCCCCCCCCTCAAATGTACAAAGCCTATTCCATTCTACTACTGTTAGGGGGCTGAAGAAGAGAGGGAAAATTTTGTGGAGATGTATAAGAGCAACATGTTGGACAATCTAGGAGAAAAGGAACCAACGTACCTTTTCATGGGAAAGAGATAAATAAAGGTGTAATTATTAAACTAATTTCTTTAAGGGTGGTTCATTGGGTTAAGACTTTGCAAATTTTTGAAAACTATTCAAAATGAGATATCATCAAGAAGTGGAGAGAAATAGCTTGGTCAGCTCCAAGGAAGAATACATCTAACCCAATTTGGTTCCCTCCAACTTCAGGGTTCACTAAACTAAACTTTCAAGGTAGTAGCAAAGGAAATCTAGGCCTGTTAGGTATAGGGGAGCTTTCAGGGATGATGAAGGTCGAATTATTGCTCTGTACTCTGGTTCTATTGGATAGGGGGGACTGAGCTCAAATATTGGCTGTTTTGGAAGGGTTGAAAAGAGCTCAAGAGTTAAATATCAGGAAATTGGTGATTCTAAGTTGGCTATAAACTGGCTAATGAAGGATGATTCTAGTTTGTGGAAGTTTCTAAATGAGAAGAAGAAAGTTAGATATCTCATACAAAATATGGAAGTCAAGTTTCAATGGACTAAGAGGTGTGCCAATTCCTTGGCATATTCATTGGCCAAACAAGGGGTGGGAAGAGTTAAATTTTTCTAGGCAATATTGTAATCTGAATTGTTTTCTTGGGAGGGTTATGAGTTTTTACCCCTCCTTTTGTATATTTATTTATTAATATCTATTAATAAATATTAATAAAAGTCTTTGTAATCTATCCAAAAAAATCTCAAGCCCAAAACAGTGAAAAAATCAGGTGGAGGGGGCGCCAATAAAGATAAGAGGCCTTCCCCAATCATCTCAAATGGGATTCTCATTCCCATGGGGGCTCAAATGGGAGATGCCATTCCACTAGAAATGAGAATTGGATTTTGATTCTACGAAAACTCAAGAGCCGTATGAAGCTCTTCCTCTCAACATGAGAGGAGTCAAGGAAGAAAACTTCTTTATTTATAGAAGAGAGAAAATTACAACATTTTCTTTTTTACAACTTCAGGAAACTAATAAAAAGAGAATAGAAAGAATTTGGGAACTAAAAAAATTAGGAAACTAATAAAGAAATAGAAAACAAGGATCTCAAGGATCAAGAGAGGCATTTCTTTCTATTAGTTGTATGGTTGATGTAGCGTGTGTAGTAATTGGATCTCCCCCTTGTACGCTCTCTTCTTGAGATTTTACACTCCCCCTCAAGATGATGTGGGAACTAGAATAAACACCCATTTTTGTCTTAATAATGGAAACATGTTTTCGGACAAAGGTTTTGTAAAAATATCACTAAGTTGTTCTTCTAAGTTAACATACTTGGTAACTACAAATCCCATTCCAACTTTTTTTCCCTCGCAAAGTAATAATCAAGCTCAATATATTTTGTTTGAGCATGAAAAACCGGATTGACTATCATGTAAAAGGCATTTATATTGTTACAAACGATAGTTGAAAGTTGAGGAAGAGAAATGCCAACATCTTGTAGCAAGAAAGATAATCACATCAACTCAATTGTAACAGATGATAGTGCTTGGCATTCTGCTTCAACCCCAACTTCAAGAAGAAAGGTACATGTCACATAGGGAGCAAGGACATTGGGCACCACAATGCAAATTCAATTAGAAGAAATCGAGTAATGGCAACAATAACAAAAGTTCAGTTAATTTGACTGAATCAAATGTCATTGTTGCAATAGTTGTTTCTAAGGTTAATATGGTAGTGGATTCTAAGAAATGGATTTTAGATACAACAGTTACAAGACATTACAACAACAGTTACAAGACATTACAGTAACAGAAGTTGTTTTCAGTCCTACACTCCCATTGGGGAAGGTGAGTAGGTGTTCTTGGGCAATTGTAGGCATGCTCCCATTATTGGCAAAGGAAATGTTCTCTTAAAACTGACTTCTAGGAAAATTCTATCCCTTTCTAATGTCTTTCATATTCCCAACATTTGTAGAAACACGATTTCAAGCTCCCTACTCAATAAAGTTGGAATAAAACTCTCATTTGAGTCCGATAAACTTATACTCAACAAAAACGATGCCTTTGTCGAGAAGGGTTATTACAGTAATGGCCTATTTGTTCTAAATGTACTTGAAATCATGAATGAAAATGCTTCTACTTCTATTTATATTATTGACTTTGTTGATATTTGGCATGGTAGATTAGAACATGTTAGTGTTCCACACTTAAAGAAGATGAAGAAAATATGATTAATTTCTGATTTTTCAGAAAACAACCTTGACAACTGCCAAATATGCATAGAATCAAAATTTACTAAGATAAGTCATAAACCAATACAAAGAGAAAACGACTTACTTGGATTGATACATAATAACTTAGGAGAGATGAAAGTCACTATGTCTAGTAGAGGAGGAAAATCGTATTACATAATCTATATTAATGATTTCTCTAGATTATTAAAGTACTTAGAAGTAAAGATGAAGTAGAAGAAATGTTTTACAAATACAAAAATGAAGTTGAATTACAGTTAGGCAAGAAAATTAAAAGAGTCAGAATTTATAAGGGAGGAGAATATGATTCATTATCCCTCAAAAATTTTGTGAAAATATAGGAATGATACATGAAACCACCGCTCCCTATTCTCTTGAATCAAATGGAGTTGCAAAAGGGAAAAATATGGCTTTAAAATAAATGATGAATTGTCTACTTATAAGTTCTAGTCTACCTCAAAATATGTGGGGAGAAGCCATAATAACTACGTGCTATATGCAAAATAGAATTCCACAAAAGAAAACAAGACTAACACCCTATGAACTTTAAAAGGGTTACACACCAAAATTAAAATTCCTGAAAGTGTGTAGGTGCTTAGCAAAAGTTGGAATCCCTGAACCTAAAAAGTGGAAAGTCAGACCAAGAACTATAGATTGTACATTTATTGGATATGCACTAGGGGCGAGCATACTTCAGTTAAAACTGAAAAACCAAATCGGAATTTCAATTTCGGTTCAATTGGTTCGGTTTAATAAGTTTTCAGTTCAATTTCGGTTGTGAAAATCGATTTAAGTATATTTCGGTTTCAATTTCAGTTGTCATGGTTCATAAATCGGTTAACCGAAAAAATTGGTTTGTTTTTTAAAGTTATATTTTTTAATATTATTGGTAGTTTCTACTTTTTAGCTTGATGCCTCGATGCATGGGCCACGAAATAATTTTGGTCCTATCTTATCTCTTGTAGTTTGGTTGCATGTAATTAAATACTTGGTGGAAAGTATAAATTGTAAAGCTGAATAGGAAACTTAAACGTCAGACTTGAGAAGTTTAACTAAAGAGGGAAAACTAAAAAAAGTAAAAAAAAAAACCTTTTCAGTCCTTCCATAGTGAGCACGTCTACCTGTCTAGCCTCTGAGGTCTATTCGTCTTCTTCTCATCAACGTCCTTGTAGAGTGCAGAGAAAGCCAGAGACTGAGATTGCATTCTTCCCAACCAACGTCTCTTCTCATGATTTCACTCTCACCTTTCAAACCCAGAAATTCAAACTTGGAAGAGAGTGAGAGACCAACAGCAATGCAACGACTACAACAAGATGACAGAGATTGCA